ACGTAACGTCTTACGTAACGTCTTACGTAACGTCCTCCGTAACGTCTTACGTAACGTCCTCCGTAACGTTTTCATAAAACGTAAGACGTAGCGTAAGACGTAACGTACCGGTTCTGTACAATATTCGGTGTCTACGCCATTTCCGTGCTATTTTTGCCGCAAATCTTAATAATCTCAACTTCAAAATTACTAACTTCAATTTTTGTATGCCAATTAAATTCCTAAACATGGGGTTGTTTTTCAGTTAAGGGCAATTCCAGAGAGGCTGTCCGTGCGTAACGGTCCTAAAACTCGCAATTCGAGGCCTGCTGCGGGCGAATGAATGGTGCTAGACTTTGGCGAGGCACATGAATGAACGCGCAATGTTGAGACGCATCCAATGGTACCAATTTTGCGGCCCCCGGATAAGCCAATCGTCTGCGTACTAGGACGTTTCGTCCAATATTTTATGTCCAATGAGAGTTTGTCCTACACACTACGTCCAGTATGACCTGCGTCCAAAACTCATATGTCCATCAATGTCCTATGTCCAATACTCAAATTTTATAGCCAAAATAGTTTTTTTAGAGTTCACATCCAGAGCCCTGCTCGCGCTCGCCCGGCTAGTGGCACAGTAGTCTATTGTTGAGAGTTGTGGCTGGGTAACTGGGCAAGAGGGGCCGGGACGCCGGGACAGCCTCAGCATGCCGCCTGTACTGTCCAAACACAAGACGAAACGCGGGGGGGACTGCGTCGCCTACAACGGCTACATGTACCACTACCATAGCGCGAACCCTAAGCGCACGCGCAAGTATTGGCGATGTGAGTTGCGGAAGCAATGTAACGCGCGGATCACTACAAACTTCGCGGCTGTGGAGGTGCTGTTGGACGGGACTGCCCAACATCAACATCAGCCTGCTCATGCAGAGGTTGAGGTGAGTCTTTGTCACAGAGAGATTTATTTGTAGTTTGTCTGTTTATTTTGTGTACATGTGTGTGTGTTGCGTGCGTAGGTGCGGGAAGTGGTGAGCGCCATCAGGCAGCGGGCCCTGGACGACCCGGGGGTGGCACCCGAAGCCATCATCCGGTCGGAGCTCCGTAACGTCGTGGACCCCGAAGTCCAGATGCAGCTGCCGGAGCGCCCGGCTCTTCGCCGGATGGTCAACCGGGCCCAAAACGCTGCGCGACCAGGAATGCCGACCAACCTGCAGGACATCGTCATTGTTGCGCCTTACACCCGCACCGCCAGTGGAGAACGCTTCTTACACTACGACAGCGGACCAGGTGATGAAGAAAGAATCCTGATGTTCACCACGAAGGAAAACTTACGTATACTGTGCATGAGCATCATATTGTTCGCTGACGGAACATTTAAGACTGTGCCCAACATGTTTTTACAAATGTACAGTATTCATGGCGAATTCCGTGACAATATTTTCCCTCTGGTTTTCTGCCTCACTGTGCGTAAAAGTGAAGATACGTACAGAAGAATGTACTCCGAGCTGATTCACATGTGTGAACAGTATCACTTCCACCTGCAGCCCGAGATCATCATGCAGGACTTCGAGCTTGCAGCAATGAATGCAGCGAAAGCCCTTTTCCCGAACGTGCAAATCAAAGGCTGCCTGTTCCACTTTTCCCAGTCAATATGGAGGAAAGTGGCTAGTGCTGGTTTGCGGGATGCATTTGTAGACAGAGATGACTCTACTATTCGAGACAATTTTCGCGAGCTCGTGGGCTTGGCTTTCGTCCCCATCGCAGAAGTAGAGCAGCGTTTCGATGAAATCAAAGGAAACATGCACCGTGACATGGAGCCGGTGGTGAAGCACCTGGAGAAGACATACATCAGGGGTGAACCTCCGCGTCGACCAGCCACGCGCCGACGAAATCCTGCTCCTCGCCCTGCTGCCCGCTTCCCGCCCAACACCTGGAACGTCTACGATCTGGTGCTGACCGGCAAGCAGCGCACGAACAACAACGTGGAGGGGTGGCACGGCCACTTCCAGCGGATGGTCGTCGCCCACCACCTCAACCTGTGGCGGTTCCTGGGTGAGCTGCAAAAGGAGCAGCATGACATCGAGCTCAAGCGCAACCAGCTCCTCGGTTAGTGTAACTTCAGAAAATATTTAGTTGTGTTTATTTTTTTGAAAGTGCTTCGTAATTGGGTGCTTATGATTACAGGTGGTCACAAGAATATCAAAGAACCGCTACCCGCCACCCAGAAACGCAACCACGCCATGATAGAGAGGATCGTCGGGCAGTATGACATCTACATCCAAGAGGGGCGCCTGGAGCAGTACCTGAGGGGGATCTCCTACAGGCTGAAGGTCAACACCGCCGTGCTCCCGGACAGCGATGACGAAGAAGAAGACTGAGAGAAATGAATGCAATGAATGAAATGAATTATATAATGAAAATAAAATTTTGGACTGTGGACACATGACAAATATTGGACGTACAATATTGGACTTAAAATTCTGGACATAACATACTGGACATTTAAATTCTGGGACATAACAGGGTAGGACAAAAAGTCGTGGACGAAAGTGTCATGGACGAAACGTCGTAGCGCCATCGTCTGCAATATGTCGAAAACAGTGTCGTTACGCACGGACTCAAAACGGAACTCGAATTTGCTATTAACGCGATGACTTTTAAAAATAACCTGTACAGTTGTAGTTCTGCTACAAGTGATTTCTGAAGCAGAAAAACGTGCTGAATCGGTAGACACGTCTGGTTTTATTCTAACTGAAGTAGTTTAGCCAAAAAACTAAGAAAATGACGGATTTTTTGCCATTTTTGCGATCTGGAATTGCCCTTAACACGAAGTACCGCCAACAATAGACGCTGTGCCATAGGCACCGCAGGCCCCCCACCGGACGCGTTAGTTTACTCAATTAATGCTAAGTAATTTACGGGTCACATTATTTATTTGATTATGCACTTTGGTAAATCGAGAGACTGAAATGGTCGGGCCGAAGGCCCGACCATCGCCGCCGGCAGGCCAAGCAGGCTCGGCCCCTGCCGAACGGAGTTGCCGGCGCAGCGAAGTGGAGCTGGCAACTCCGTTTGGCGGAAGGGCGGGCCTGCTTGTTTTGGTCTACGTTCACTGTTAACTTGCTGTTGGAAAACGGCAAAAATACGTTATGTTTACAGACTTGCTTTCCACACGGGCTGGTCAGGCACAACGTGCTCAGGATGTCAGTGGCAATCAGCAAAGCGGCAACGAGTCAGGTGAGCGAGCGCGAGCGCAACGGCCGCGACCAATAAAACACAAAGTCGGTCTTTTACAACGGCATCACTAATGAGCAAATTGTTTGCAGGTTCCCTACAAGATCGGACGAAGCTTCTGAGGCACGGGCGCGCATGTATTCGGGAAGCACGACAGTTGCGATCTGTATTTCTGTACAGGCCCAGGCCCTAGGATCCGCCCGACTGGTTGCCTATCCCTCCACCTTCGCCTGCAGCAACGCTCGACAGGCGTCTACCAGGGCCACCATTCCAGCAGCCATGCCATCTCCGTCCACTGCGCAGGATGGGGCTTCTCCCCAGGAGAACTAGGTGAAACGCATGGAAAAGGCAGGCGTCTGGAAAGAGATTATGGTAATAGTATGGAACAGTGACTCAGAGCCGATGAGTCACTCTTCTATACCATTGGAAAGGGCTTTTTGAGTATAATCCGGAACACTTTCAATTTTTGGCGCTCGAGTCTGGTTTTCCTGAAAATTAAATAAATATACGTCGCCGCTAACATTCAGACGGACTTTGAGCACGACAGAATAACTTACGTTTACGGCTAGTCCTGCCATTGATCGGACCGGCTGGGGTTTTTAAAACATTGCTCATGGATCAAAGACTACGCCTGATTCAGAATATCAGGCCTTCTTTCTTCTCCGTTGCTTAGATCACAGTTTCCACGCTCCACGCTTCTCCAAAAATGCTTTCTACTGGGCGTGGTCCTGCCCAGAAAGAGGACCGAGTGCCGTCTCCTGCGAGGCTACGAACCGGTGAGGCACTCGGGCGGACGGGCGCGGTTGCCAACAACAATGGGCAGTCCAGAGGGGCGCAGGCGCGGTTTAACAGTGGTACCAACAGAATGTAGGAAGTTGGTCGCTGCCCGTCCTCCAATGAATTTTCCCTTCTATTTCACTATAAATCTTGCGTTGGACGTCCCGAAAAGTAGCTGCCCGTTTTCGAATAAATTTCCTCGAATGAATTTGCCCGTCTATTTAACTTTTGCCAATTTCCCCATCCTCATCTACTGGGATATTAGTATTAGTTAAATATAAGGGAAGTTCATTCGAGGAAATTTATTCGAAAACGGGCAGCTATTTAGCAGCTCGAGGTTCATTTCGCTCTGTTTGGAAACACTCAACAAAGGGGCAGTTGGCGGGGCCACGAGCAAAGTGTTGATTGTTGGCGGTACTAAGGTAATGTGGAATTGCACTCCAACAGGTGGTCGCGGCGACATGACGCTCTGGCCCCCCGCGCGCGGCGCGTGTGGTAGAAACGGGTTCGTTTAAAAAGCACTCTAGCGCCCAAACAGTGCAAGATAGAGTCAAACGGACAAGTTTCGTCTAAAGGGCTCTACTTTCACGAGTTACCCTATCCGAGACCATAAAAAATGTTTTTTTCCCTACTTTATGGACCAACCCCTATTTCTTTGTTACCCCCTTTCACTCCCTTAGGGGTGGTTGCCAGGATTTGCAGGATGTCCAGGAGTGACACCTAAGATACCCTGGAATTTGTAGACCTCTAGCTTATCTCCTTCCTCTTACACGGACGACGGACAAACAGACGGACAGACAGAGAGCGGTTGCATAAGCCCGCTTTAATGCTTTTTTAAAAGCAGAGCCATGCCTGGACACATCTCCCGCTGTGATATTCTTACCCCTTGGGACTGGTTTGTCTGCCAGGACGCAGGTGACCGGTGTGACGACAGCCACGCCACCGGTGATGTGACGTGTGTGCAGGCCATATAGGGTCCGTATATTGAAGTCGGCGTTGTCTCACGCAAATAGCAGAAAGCCGCCTGGCAACAGGTCAGGTGGAGCATACGCCACGACGGCCCTTTCAAATTGCACAGCCTCTCGGTACGGCGCACACTCTCCGAGTCGATTGAGAATATCTACTAGCCCGCGAGAAGCAAAGACACGGTGGATGTACACACTTAGACCAACTTGTAAGGGTGAAACATAGGACCTGGGCCGCAAAGCACACAGTATATCTTGCCCTATGGCGTTGCATTCCCGCGAGAAGCAAAGACACGGTGGATGTACACACTTAGACCAACTTGTAAGGGTGAAACATAGGACCTGGGCCGCAAAGCACACAGTATATCTTGCCCTATGGCGTTGCATTTCCGCAGGGTTCGAAGACTGGTCGGCTCCCTCTTTGCGTTTCGTTACAAGTCTTGTGAGCAGAGTTGTTAGGGAGCGGGGGAGGGCACTCCGGCCGCCCTCCTCGATCTCCACTGGCGTCGGGAAGGTCTCCGTCTCGAAGAACGTGGTGCCCAGTGCCCACGTCCATCACAGAATGATGTCCGCTGCTGTCTCCACAATGCGCAAACGCTCATTACAGTCGACACGATTACGCTGCTTGTACTATGCATCATTGAGTACTCTCTCTACCGTGCCACTGAAGCAACGGAGAGTGGTTTGGCTAGGACGTGGGTAAAATTTGATGCCACCTTTGTATCTTTCCAAAAGCAACCTCTTCAGGTGCGTTTCCCCGCAACAATAGCTGTCTTCCTATCTGTCTTGCTATCACCAAATCCTAGGGTGTTTGTATTTAACTAATAGAAGTCTCTGTTACTTGGCTGTTTGGACTCCTAATGATCGTAAAGTCTTCCCTATTCCAAACGATCCAGAATGGAGACCCAACATTAAGAGGCTATTGAAGTTTTTCTTCAATACCCTTGTTCCATATCTTTCAAATAACATCTGATAACTCACTCTGTAATATGCATGCATGCCTGTTCAACTAATTTGCTCAATTAGTTTATTTTTTCACCCAAATTGTGCTGTACTACATTCACAGATTTTTTTTACTATTTTTGCAACTGTGCGAGCGCTGTGAGCGCGAATTTTTGGGTTTGTAGAGCGCAAAATGCGTTCTGACTGGCACTGGATGGCACCAAAAGTGTGCTTTTGAACGGCCATTGAACATTTATCACCCTATCGGGGAACTCTTTTGGGCCCCCTGCGGGGGCCCAGAGAGGCCCGGGGGCCCCGGCCGAAGGGGGGCCCAGTCGGGGATCCCCGACTCCCCGACCTGGCCAGTACGCGCCTGCATAGACTGATGTTAACAAATTTGCTTAGTTTTGCACTTATTCTGTTTTATTGTACAGACACACACTGTTAGGGGGCTAAGGGTCCGTTTTGGACCCTTTATGCAGTGGTGCCAAAATGGCACCTTTTAATCCGCGCAGACCCTTTGAAGGTCCTGTTTTCTACCGCTATGAAGGGTCCAAAGCGAGACCCAGAAAGGGTCCAGCTCGGGTGGTAGGTGGCCGCACTGATCCCTTTCTCAGGTCACCGACCTCGGCCGGCTGGGCGGCTAGGGGGCCAGCGCGGCACCTTCAGAGGTCCCCGTTGGTGCCTTCGTAGTGTGCGTATCGGTGCCTCCAGAGGTCCCCCGCTGAACCCTCGCAAGGTGCCCATCCGGTATATTGGTGCCTTTCTAGCGTCCGTATAGTAGTATCACTGCGTCGGGCTTACTCTCTTCTGATCAAACGTGCTCAAAGCGTAGTTTTACGCTGTAAAAATGTATTAAGAGGAAAAACATATTTTCTGTTACACTTAGCTTTATTTTATTTTTGCCCTTTTTCCCCCCTTTCTCTTCTTCTATTCCGAACTTTCCTCGTATCCGTCACATACTTCTGCTTCGGCTTTGATCATGGCTGTTTCAGTCCTACTAGCCGCGAGATACGCATGTTGCTGGCAGTGCCGGGAACAGAACCTCGGCCATGCCAACTCAGCGCTCACGCTTCGTTCGTAACTTACTCGGCCATGGGAGCCACATGCAGGGGGGACTGCCAGCGATGCACCACGATCCAGCTTTTGTCTCCAGTGCTGCTCAGCGGCCGGGCCGCCCCCCCCCCCTTCCCTTCCCTACTCGTTGAAGGGTACGGCACGGAAATACCCCTAGAGGTCCCGGCTCGGGCCACTGGGCCTCTGCCACTCGCGGTCAGCGACCCTAGGCGACACCTGGCAGAGCTTGACCCCCCCCCTCCCCCCCGTTAGAGGCACCGCAGAGCACCTCCGAAGGTGCCGAGTTCGGCCACATGCGACCGTCGGCGAGCTTACGCAATAACCCCGCCCTGGGACACTGTAAAGGTCCCACATGGGACCTCTGAAGGCACCAGTCGAAGCAG